TTTATCATGTTAATGGACACCAAAAGAAAGCTGGGGTGGCAATCCTTCTATCAGACAAATTAGATTTTAAAACAAAGACTGTAATAAGAGATGAGGAAGGACACTATATCCTACTTAAAGGGTCTATCCAACAAGAAGATCTAACAATTGTAAATATCTATGCGCCTAACATGGGAGCAGCCAATTATATAAGGCAATTAATAACAAAAGCAAAGAAACACATTGATAACAATACAATAATGGTGGGGACTTTAACATGCCCCTCACTGAAATGGACAGATCATCTAAGCAAAAGATCAACAAGGAAATAAAGACTTTAAATGACACACTGGACCAAATGGACTTTACAGACATATTCAGAACATTCCATCCCAAAGCAACAGAATACACATTCTTCTCTAGTGCCCATGGAACATTCTCCAGAATTGATCACATCCTAGGTCACAAATCAGGTCTCCACCGGTACCAAAATATTGGGATCATTCCCTGCATATTTTCAGACCACAATGCTTTGAAACTAGAACTCAATCACAAGAGGAAAGTCGGAAAAAACTCAAATACTTGGAGGCTAAAGAGCATCCTACTAAAGAATGAATGGGTCAACCAGGAAATTAAAGAAGAATTAAGAAAATTCATGGAAACCAATGAAAATGAAAACACAACTGTTCAAAATCTTTGGGATACAGCAAAGGCAGTCCTGAGAGGAAAGTATATAGCAATACAAGCCTTTCTCAAGAAACAAGAAAGGTCTCAAATACACAACCTAACCCTACACCTAAAGGAGCTGGAGAAAGAATAGCAAATAAAGCCTAAACCCAGCAGGAGAAGAGAAATAATAAAGATCAGAGCAGAAATCAATGAACTAGAAACCAGAAGAACAGTAGAACAGATCAACAAAACTAGGAGGTGGTTCTTTGAAAGAATTAACAGGATTGATAAACCCCTGGCCAGACTGATCAAAAAGAAAAGAGAAATGACCCAAATCCACAAAATCATGAATGAAAGAGGAGAGATCACAACCAACACCAAAGAAACACAAACAATTATAAGACATATTATGAGCCACTCTATGCCAGCAAATTAGATAACCTGGAAGAAATGGGTATATTCCTAGAGATGTATCAACTACCAAAATTGAACCAGGAAGAAATAGAAAACATGAACAGACCCATAACCACTAAGGAAATTGAAGCAGTCATCAAAAATCTCCCAACAAACAAAAGCCTAGGGCCAGATGGCTTCCCAGGGGAATTCTATCAGACATTTAAAGAAGAATTAATACTTATTCTCCTGAAAGTGTTCCAAAAAATAGAAATGGAAGGAAAACTTCCAAACTGATTTTATGAGGCCACCATTCCCTTGAGCCCCAAACCAGACAAAGACCCCATCAAAAAGGAGAATTACAGACCAATATCCCTGATGAACATGGATGCAAAAATTCTCACCAAAATACTAGCCAATAGGATCCAACAGTACATTAAAAGGATTATTCACCATGACCAAGTGGGATTTATCCCTGGGCTGCAAGGTTGGCTCAACATCCACAATCAATCAACGTGATATAATACATTAACAAAAGAAAGAACAAGAATCATTTGATCCTCTCAATAAATGCAGAAAAAGCATTTGACAAAGTACAGCATTCTTTCTTGATCAAAACTCTTCAGAGTATAGGGATAGAGGGTACCTACCTCAATATCATAAAAGCCATCTATGAAAAACCTTCAGTGAATATCATTCTCAATGGGGAAAAGCTGAGAGCTTTTCCCCCAAGGTCAGGAATGCGGCAGGGATGTCCACTCTCACCACTGCTATTCAACATAGGATTAGAAGTCCTAGCCACAGCAATCAGAAAACAAAAAGAAATCAAAGGCATCCAAATCAGCAAGGAGGAAGTCAAACTCTCACTCTTTGCAGATGATATGATACTGTATGTGGAAAACCCAAAAGAGTCCACCCCAAAACTGCTAGAACTCATACAGGAATTCAGTAAAGTGGCAGGATATAAAATCAATGCACAGAAATCAGTAGCATTCCTATACACCAACAACAAGACAGAGGAGAAACAGATCAAGGAGTCGATCCCATTTACAATTGCACCGAAAATCATAATGTACCTAGGAATAAATTTAACCAAAGAGGCAAAGGATTTGTACTCAGAAAACTATAAAAACTCATGAAAGCAATTGAAGAAGTCATAAACAAATGAAAAAACGTTCCATGCTCATGGATTGGAAGAACCAACATTGTGAAGATGTCAGTGCCACCTAGAGCAATCTACACATTCAATGCAATCCCCATCAAAATACCATCCACCTTTTTCAAAGAAATGGAACAAATAATCCTAAAATTTGTATGGAACCAGAAGAGACCCCGAATAGCCAGAAGAATATTGAAAAAGAAAAGCAAAGCTGGCGTCATCACAATTCCGGACTTTCAGCTCTATTACAAAGCTGTCATCATCAAGACAGTATGGTACTGGCACAAAAACAGACACATACATAAATGGAACAAAATCGAGAGCCCAGCAATGGACCCTCAACTCTATGGTCAACTCATCTTGGACAAAGCAGGAAAGAATGTCCAATGGCAAAAAGACAGTCTCTTCAACAAATGGTGTTGGGAAAATTGGACAGCCACATACAGAAGAATGAAACTGGACCATTGCCTTACACCACACACAAAAATAGACTCCAAATGGTTGAAAGACCTAAACGTGAGACAGGAGTCCATCAATATCTTGAAGAACACAGGCAGCAACCTCTTCCACCTCAGCCATAGCCACTTCTTCCTAGAAACATCGCCAAAGGCAAGGGAAGCCAGGGCAAAAATGAACTATTGGGATTTCATCAAGATAAAAACCTTTTGCACAGCCAAAGAAACAGTCCACAAAACCAAAAGACAACCGACAGAATGGGAGAAGATATTTGCAAATGACATATCAGATAAAGGGCTAGTATCCAAAATCTATAAAGAACTTATCAAACTCAACACCCAAAGAACAAATAATCCAATCAAGAAATGGGCAGAAGACATGAACAGACTTTTTTCCAAAGAAGACATCCAAATGGCCAATATACACATGAAACAGTGCTCAACATCACTCGGCATCAGGGAAATCCAAATCAAAACCTCAATGAGATACCACCCACACCCGTCAGAATGGCAAAAATTAACAAGTTAGGAAACGACAGATTTTGGAGGGGATGTGGAGAAAGGGTTCCCCTCCTACACTGTTGGTGGGAATGCAAGCTGGTGAAACCCTCTGGAGAACAGTATGGAGTTTCCTGAAACAGTTGAAATTAGAGCTACCAAAGGATCCAGCAATTGCACTACTGGGTATTTACCACAAAGATACAAATGTAGGGATCCGAAGGGGTACGTGCACCCCAATGTTTATAGCAGCAATGTCCACAATAGCCAAACTGTGGAAAGAGCCAAAATGTCCACCGACAAATGAATGGATAAAGAAGAAGTGGTATATATACACAATGGAATATTATGCAGCAATCAAAAGGAATGAGATCTTGCCATTTGCAATGACGTGGAAGGAACTGGAGGGTGTCATGCTGAGTGAAATAAGTCAATCAGAGAAAGACATGTATCATATGACCTCACTGATATGAGGAATTCTTAATCTCAGGAAACAAACTGTGGGTTGCTGGAGTGGTGGGGGGTGGGAGGGATTGGGTGGCTGGTGATAGACATTGGGGAGGGTATGTGCTATGGTGAGCACTGTGAATTGTACAAGACTGATGAATCACGGATCTGTACTTCTGAAACAAACAATGCAATATATGTTAAGAAAAAGAAAAAGAAGAAGATAACAGGAGGGGAAGAATGAAGGGGAGTAAGTCAGAGGGGGGACGAACCATGAGAGACGATGGACTCTGAAAAACAAACTGAGGGTTAGAGGGGAGGGGGTTGGGGGGATGGGTTAGCCTGGTGATGGGTATTAAAGAGGGCACATTCTGTGTGGAGCACTGGGTGTTATGCACAAACAATGGATCATGGAACACTACATCAAAAACTAATGATGTAATGTATGGGGATTAACATAACAATAAAAAATTATTTAAAAAAAGATTTCAAAATGTTAAGCAGAAGTAGAATAAAAATTGTGTTTTTTACTGGTATTTTTTTGATGAGGATATAACTTATACACAGTAATACCCAGATTTCAAGTATTCAGGTCCATGAGTTTTGACAAATGCATGCACACCCCTATCAAGACACAGGACAATTCCATCACCCTTAGAAAATCCCTTGTGACCCTTCCTTCTGTCCCTAACTCCCACCTTAGAGGCAACTACTGCTCTGATTTCTTTCACCATAGATTAGTTTTGCCTTTTTAGAACTTTAGCTCAATGTAATCATATGGCATGTGTTATTTTGTGTCTGGCTTCTTTCACTCAACAAAATTTTTCAAGGTTCATCTACACTCCTGCAAATAACACCCAACATTTTTGAACCCTCCTGGGTTGTCAGGCACTGTGGTCTGCACTTTACATTCTTTCAGTTTTTGTAATAATCCCACAGTGTGTTATCCCCATTTTGCAGCTGAGGAGACTAGGCTTAGAGCGGTTAAGTAACCTGCTCAGAACACATCGCTGGTCAGTGGACCAGGCAGAATTTGAGCTCCTGTGTCTGACTCTAGAGCATGTGGCCCAATGCACCTGGCACTCTGTCCCATGCACTGGGCAGGTCAAAGGCCCAGGCTCCATCCCCTGCACTGGGCAGGTCGAAGGCCTGGGCTCTGTCCCTTGTACTGGGCAGGTCAAAGGCCAGAGCTATGTCTCCTGCCCTGGGCAGGTCAAAGGCCAAGACTCTGTCTCCTCTACTGGGTAGGTCAAAGGCCAAGGTTCTGTCTCTTGCCCTGGACAGGTCAAAGGCCCAGGCTCTGTCTCCCACATTGGGCAGATCAAAGGAGGCCTGGACTCTGTCCCCTGTGCTGGGCAGGTCACAACAGGTCAATAACCACCTTACACATGCCCCTCTAGGCCTCTGGACTGCTGTTTCCATCCTCTTTTCAGTCTCCTTGCTTCTGGGCTGGAATCTCATCTTCTATTCCACTCTAGAGGTGGTCACCTTCACCAGCCCTCCGTGGCAGCGAGCTTCAGGGAGAGAGAACCAAGTGTGTGAAGGCGGCACGGCTGTTCCAGTGAGTTATTGCTCCATCACCGTCCTCTGAGTGATGATTGTGTGTGAAGCCTGACCCATAAATAGAGTTACATTTCTGGGCCTGTCTATGGAAAGAAAGATTATCTACAGCTATAAAAAGGGTAAGGTGCAGTTAAAAAAAGCAACTGCTACTCAGATAACCCAAATTAAACAAAAGCCTTTTCTGTCTAACGTGACACCTGATCAAAATGGAATTTTGGGAGAGGGTGGAAAGCTATTAGTCATGACTAGCATAAGCCCACCAGACCTAGTGGGTGCATCCCACCCCAGTGGCCAGAAGCTGTTTGGATGGCTGGATGTTACTCAGCACAATGAGGAGGGGAAGCAGCCAGGCTGTTTAGAAAACTTTGTTCAGAAGAGCAAAACCCCTGCTCCTGGTCCTGCGGACTTCCTTCCCAACCCTTCTAGACTTTTTGGCTCCACCTCCTTGAGATCAGGGCCAGGAAAAGATAATTTGGGTTCTCTGGGAAGGGAGTGGGGTAGAGTGGAGAGCAGGCAGCTGTGGGCACATGAAATTGGGAGGAAACTGCGCCAATTAAATTGAGAAAATGTAACAGGCTGGGCAACAACCCTTTTTACAGGCTTTGAAGGACATGGAGTATTTCTTGGCTGTGTGATCTTAAGCAAGTTGCTTAACCTCTCTGTCACTGTTTCCTTAGCTGTGGCATGGGGATAATAGTAGTACATATCTTATCAGTACATATCTTATATATGTTATATATGTTAATACATATACTTAGTATGGTTTCTGGTAGGATAATAGGCACTCGATTCATGTGCATAGTATTGCTATTACTTTTGTTGTTGGGACTGTGGAAAAAGCATTCTGGACTAGGAGTCTGTCAATGCAGATTCTTTTTTCTTTTATGTTCACTTAGCCACTGTATAGTACATCATTAGTTTTTGATGTAGTGTTCAATGATTCATTAGTTACATATAACACCCAGTGCCCATGACAACACATGCCCTCCTTAATACCCATCACCCTGTTATCCCCTCCCCCCACCCCCTCCCTTCTGAGACACTCAGTTCGTTTCCCGGAGTCCATAGTCTCTCATGGTTCATCTCTCTTTCTGACTTCTCCCCCTTCAGTTTTCCCTCCTTTCCCCTGTAGTCCTCCATGCTATTGCTTATGTTCCACATATGAATGAAACCATATGATAACTGTCTTTCTCTGCTTGACTTACTTCACTTAGCATAAATACCCTCCAGTTCCATCCACATCGATGCAAATGGTGGGTATTCATCCTTTCTGATGGCTGAATAATATTCCATTGTATATACCACATCTTCTTTATCCATTCATCTGTTGAAGGGCATCTCAGCTCCTTCCACAGTTTGGCTATTGTGGACACTGCTTCTATGAACATTAGAGTTCATTTATTTTTTTTAGGGTGCATTTACACTTTCAATGCATCCCTATTAAAATACCATTGGCATTTTTCAAAGAGCTGGAACAAACAATCCTGAAATTTGTATGGAACCATAAAAGACCCCAAATCACTAAGGGAATGATGAAAAAGAAAAACAAAGCAGGGGCATCACGTTGCTCAACTTCAAGCTATATTACAAAGTTGTGATTACCAAGACAGCATGGTATTGATGCAAAAACAGACACATAGACAAGTGGAACAGAATAGAGATTCCAGAAATGGACCCTCAACTCTATGGTCAACTAATCTTTGACACATCAGGAAAAAATATCCAATGGAAAAAAGACAGTCTCTTCAATAAGTGGTGCTGGGAAAATTGGACAGCTACATATAGAAGAATGAAACTGGACCATTCCCTTACACCATACACATAGATAAAATCAAAATGGATGAAAGACCTCAATGTGAGACAGGAATCCACCAAAATCCTAGAGGAGAACATAAGCAGTAACCTCTTCAACTATTGGCCACAGTAACATCTTTCAAGACATGTCTCCAAAGGCAAGGGAAACAAAAGAAAAAAATGAACTTTTAGGACTTCATCAAGATAAAAATCTTCTGCACAGTAAAGGAAACAGTCAACAAGACTAAAAGACAGCCCACGGAATGGGAGAAGATATTTGCAAATGACATTAGAGATAAAGGGCTGATATCCAAGATCTATAAAGAACTTCTCAAACTCAACACTCAAAAAACAAATAACCCAGTCAAAAAATGGGCAGAAGACATGAACAGACACTTCTCCAAAGAAGACATACAAATGGCTAACAGACATATGAAAAAATGCTCAACATCATTAGCCATCAGGGAAATACAAATCAAAACCACGAGATACCACCTTATACCAGTAAGAATGGCAAAAATTAACAAGACAGGAAACAACAAATGTTGGCGAGGATGTGGAGAAAGGGGGACCCTCTTACACCGTTGGTGGGAATGCAAGCTGGTACAGCCACTCTGGAAAACAGCGTGGAGGTTCCTCAAGATGTTAAAAATAGGGCTACCCTATGACCCAGCAATTGCACTACTAGGCATTTACCCCAAAGATATAGATGTAGTGTCAATGCAGACTCTCATCTTGGCTTTGTTACTAACTTGTTGGGTGGCCTTGAGCAAGTCACTTCCCCTTTCTGGGTCGCAATTTCACTATCTTCAAAATTAAAAGCCCATTCCAGCTCGCATATTTTAGAGTCTACACTCCTTGGAAAGACAGCTTTCAAGCAAACCCCTCCAGCTCTTTTCCCTATCCTTCCCCATTGGTCCCTAACACCTGAACCTGTCTGAAGATGTCAGCAGACCCCCTGCATCTCAAGTTGGAAAGCTGGGACAGGCCTCAAGCCTAGTTTGGAAGGCTACCTTTTCCCTGATGGAAAATGCTTCTGTTGGCTGCTTCCCTGAGGATGATGCTTTCAGTCAAATTGTCCAAGTCTTTGCTTGGCCACTGACCAGCTGCTTGACATCCCTGAGCCCCAGATTCCTTTTCTGTAAAGTGGGGATAATAGTAACAGCTGTCTCATATGGCTATCATGAAGAGTAAATGTGACTTTGCAATTAAAGAGCTTAGCACCATGCCTGTTGCAAAATAAGTGCTCAGCTAATATCAGTCACTTTTTGAGCACTATGCTCAACATCATTTTCTCCTTTCCCATCCTAGTCCTCAGGGGCAAGAAGCAAATAGTCTAGGAACATAACCACCTCCTTCACTGCTCTTGGGAGCCATGTGTTTTGCTGCCCTCCATGTAGACGTGTGCCCACACACATTCACACATGTACTCTCATGTGTACACCCACCCACACATCCTTCCCTTGACCACCTGGCTCTCGGAGCACCAGGACTGGCTGTCCTGTGGGGCAAGGGCAAAGGCAAAGGCAAGGGGCTGGCATGCAGCTTCTGGCCTGAACACAATGATTTACAGGCCAAACTGGGCTATTTCTGCAGGTTCACCAGCAATTTCAGCTGCTCAATGAACACAGCCTGTGTCAGGAGTCGGGTAAACTGTGTGCTCAGACCCATATTTAAGATCATCCTTGGACAGTAGTTGGTAGTCAGAAAACCAAGTATATAATTTTCGATTAGCGCACTGCAAGCTTCCAGGTTTGCCTAGGCTACAACAATCTCTTCTGGAATGTGTTTTGTGACTGGCTGTAGCCTAAAAGCAAATGAGCCCTGGACTTTTGCAAGGAAGGAAAAATATTTTGTATGTGAGGATTTCTGAGCACCCCCTCTCTGTGCTCCTAACATACATAGTCTTGTGGGAATGGTGCCCCCTTCCAATCCACACTGGGGGTTCCCAAATATTCCCACCCTGTTACTAAGGAAATGAGGATGAGAGAAATGAACAAACTTTGCTGAAATCTCCAGTAGTGACTGGTAATCTTGAACTTGAACCATACCAGTTTGATGCCAGAGTCCAGGTTCTTAACTTCCATGCATCACTGTCTTAGTATCATGCAGTCTTTGACGATAATCTTCAAATCTTGGCTTGTGACCCATGAAGTCATCTTAGTGAATCACACACCCTTTAAAACAGATTACACTAGGCTATAGCAGGGAGTATCAAAATGCATCATCCACATTAAGGACAAGTACTATTTCATGACACTTTTATTTTAGTTTGATGCATACATGTGTGCTTGTACCTGTTTACAGTGTAAAGTGTATATCCTAAGTTTAGTCACAACCAAAACCAGTTTGAAAGTCTCTGGTCTGTGGAGTCCTTCTGGGAAAAGGCTGGATGTTTTGAGTTGAGGTCCTGCCCTCTCTCTTCCCTACCTTTCTTGATTATAATAATATTAACAGCAATGCTTTCTCATGGCTCTGATGAATGTGAAATTACTTAGCAAATCATAAAATCATCACAAATTTCCAGGTTGATTTTTACTTTTGCTGAGTGGCTTTGTTCACATTATCTGGGAGTGGATGGAGAGGGATAGGTATCTGGGACCATCGTCAAGGGCTCCAGGGAATCTCCCATCTCACTGCCTTGTGGCTGTTGCAGCCTGCAGGCCCTGGGGGTACCATTTCTTCCAGTTAGTAGCTCAATGCCCAGAGGTTAGCTGCTTAGGTGACGGGGATGGAAAAGCTTCCAGTCCTTTGGGAAGTGTTTCTAGGAGGATTTCCACAAGTGATTCCTTGTCAGCCTTTCCCCAGACATTAGAGGGCTAGCCAGGGCCTAAACACACCCATCCCAGCAGCTGGCTGTCAGCTTCCTGTGGAGAGCTGGGGCAGGAGTCTGCTGATCCCACCCCAGTGTCTTTGCTGGCTGCCTTTTCACGGGTCAAAGAAGAGCTTTGGGATTTGATTCCTAAACAATCTCGGAGTTCCCCATCAGCGCCAAGAATGACAACAGTCCTATGGGTTTACACAGGGCCTTTCTTCTAACAAGTTCAAAGTAATTTCTTGAATGTTGTCCTCATTTTTTCCAAGGTCACTGTGGAAGGTGTGGTTTTGTTGCCAGTTCTTGATACTGGAGTGGTAAAAGGCCTTGATTACCAGCAAATGGCTGGGGCTGGATTTGCCTGGAGCTTAGCTTCCCAAATCTTCCCATCTGATTTCTGCTTTCTCAACCTTGTTTTTATTATCACTGCCCTAAAGAGCCTTTTTAGACAATTTTTCATACTTGCCTTCCACCCTCCCTGGCACCCATGAAATGTTAATACCATAGATACACTGAGCACCTATTTATGTGCTGTATGTATCTCTGTGCCCCTTGAGGGTGATTTTGCCCTGTTGGGAATGAATGCTCCAGAGACATAGTGTTGGTAGGACCTAGCCTCTTGAGGTGAGGTGTCAGCTCCTTGTCTGTACACTAATACAAGATAACAAGAGTACCTCCTTGTGGGGTTACTGTAAGGACAGAAGGTCCTTAATAAAGTGCTTAGCACTATGCTTGGCACCAAGTAAGCACTCATAAGTGCTATCTCATTATTATTAGTAGTAATAATAACAGTTAATGTGTATTGGGGAATTATTTTAAGATGGAATTTAGAGCTTTTCATAAATTCAGTGACTTAGTTCTCATAGCAACCGTGTGAAGTAGGGACTATTATTGTCATTTTACAAATAAGAAAACTGAGGCCCAGACAAGTTGACTTATCCAATGTCACAGCCAGTAAGTGACAAAGACAATATTTGATTCTAGGGAGTCTGGTTCCTAAATTTATATTCTTTACCATGAAGCTGTGTATATTAGTCATGTAAGCACAATGTTAGTAGAAACATCAGGATTAATCCTTTAACCTTTTCAACAATGGCAAGTGGCCTCATTGGTACTATGGCTTCAAATAGGTTCTGGCCCATGTAGTCATCTCAGGACTTTGAAATACATTTTTCTGACTCTTCCATTCCAGGCAGAGCTGGCTGAGCTACTAATAAGGATCAGTTATTTGAGTTCTCACTTCCCAGCCTCGGAAAGCCACCCAGGTATCCTCTACAATGATTAGTCTGTCTTTGGAATCAAGATGGCACCAAGTGTGGGCTGTTGCTGTGGAGCTGCATGTTGCTATGGTAGCAGCTCATGCCTCCTTCCTACCCTCTCAGAGGTGCTCTGACACAGGCAGCAGTTTCTATGGTAACAAGCTGAATGGAGGGTCCATGAAGAAAGGACTGTGTGTGTTCTGACTTGGGGGGGATTGAAAATGAATCCTGGGCATTTGGAGGGTTACCCTCTCACATGTCAAAGGCAAACAACATCATCACTGCAGGAATGGTCCCAACAAGTAGAGTATTAGAAATATCAGGGTTTCTTAGCTTATTCTCCTTACAAGTTCACCTTTTGCCTTTCTTTATAAGGACAATTTAAGACTTCAGAAAATAAGATGAAGAGGAGGAAATTGTAGCTGAGAGTGAATTCTCAGAGGTGCATAATTAAATTACTATGCAAGCAATAGATCCACAAATAAACTTTTAAACATGGTTCCAAACCCTTCATAGAAGTTTCAAAGGATGAAAGGATCACTGCTCTGTCCTATTAGAAGCTATTCAATGCCCTGCTGCAGAAAACGCTTTCCACTGATTGACAGCATCCACCCTGCAGGCTGCTGGAGCCCCTTTAGAGCCTACACATTTCCTGCTGCCAATAAGGCAGGGCTGCTTCACTCCCCTCCCTGGGGCCATGGCTAGCTGCACCCTGAGATCAGGCCACATATCAATACTCACTTTGTCCTTTGCATGCTTTCCAGGTAACAGGAGGTATGGGAGGAAAGCCAAATTTGTGTCAGCCCAGTATTCTAAGAGTACGCTCAGCAAGGAGAGACCATTTGGCAGTGGCAAATGCTTTGCATCTCTTCCTGGTTCAGCATATGCAATATGTGATGGGACAAGCCCCCTAATGCTTATTAAGAACTTACTATGTGTTAGGCACCATTCTAAGCAATTGACATCTATTGACTCATTTAATTTTCCCAACAACCTAATGAGAAAAATAGTATTATTATCCCTATTTTACAGATGAGGAAATAAGCAGCGAGAGTTTGAGGAACTTACTCAAGTTCTCACACTTAGTAAAAACCAGAGCTAGGATGCAAACCACATATTAGGACCCTGAATTTAGGTGGTAGCCATGGGAAGCAGACAAATTAGTATATTCATAGAAAGCTGGGCAGAAAGTGAGCTTGCTGCCAGAAGAGGTGGGAACCAGACCGGGCCCTTTCAGTGACAGAAGTCCACTCAGGCAGTCTTAAGGAACAAAAGGATTTTAGATGGTCACAATACAAAGACGCCGGGAATGCACAGTGAATCCAGCAGGTGCTCAATCCCTCAACCCAGCCCAGGCTCCTCTCTATTGGTTCATTCTTAGACTCTCCCCAGGTAGTGGGAAGGATGGCTGTTGGCAGCTTCAGACTGACATCCTGCTAGCTTAGTAGCCCCTGGATAAAAAGGTGACTTAACCTCCATTATTCCAACAAAATCTTGGAGTTGACAGTGTTAATATGATTGGTCACATGCCAACCCCCAACCAATTATTTGGTTGATGCTATATTCACATGGGTCAATCCTGATTTGTATGCCCAATTCTCTCACAATAGGAAGTAGGAAGAATTGATGTGTTCCTAAGGGGAGTTTCCAGCTGAAAATCAGGGTGCTGTGAGCAGTAGAAGAGGGGATGGATGCAAGACTGGCAAAAACAGCAGCTGTCCCTAACCCTCACTCTCTGGTACATACAGAGACAGGGTGACCAGACACTCAGTAACCTGCATCCACGACTTCTGCCCACTCTGACTCCCCAGCTTTATAAGGCACAGATATGAACCAGTCTGTTCTCTCCCCAGGAAGAGTGGCCAGCCAGTGACAACTGTGCCAAGCTGGTCTCTGCCGGGCATTCCCCCTTTGCACTTGAGAGGACACCCAGCCCTCTGATACCTGCTCTCCCCCACCTGCATGTGTGCTGCCTCATTACCTTTGTTTTCTGGCCCTTTGCTCTCATCTGCCCCTTTTCACATTCACCTCACTCAGACTCTTTCATCAGAAAAGCTTCAGCTCTTTCAGTTTCCCCCTTCTGCCCATCCTTTACCTGGCATTTTCCCACTGTCATTAAAAACCAAAGCCTCAGCATCTCCACCACCTTCTGAGCTTTCCCCCAGCCTGGCACATAAGAACCCAGAAGTGGGTTCTTGGTGGTTCTCTGAGCATTTTGAACATGAGCTTCCGGGAAGTGAGATTCTGGGGACTAAAGCATCTTTTGCTGGGGTTTCTGTTGCTGAGGGAGGGCAGTAGCTGAGAGGCCTGGGAAGCCAAGTTTGATTTTCCTCTTAAACACAGGCACTTCCTCTAGGTTCAGGCCAAGCCATCCCTGAGTGTATATTTACTTCATCCTATGTTGATCCCTTGTTTTTCTGAATTCCCACACAATCTCATGGTTACTTTGGCTCCTAGGACCTATCTTCCTCTGAGGCTCCTAGGGTCCAAAGAAAATAGAAATTAAGGCACATTTATTTGACTGAAGAATTTTGGCATTTAATTGTCTACAGTATCCTTCATTTTGGGGGAATGAGAGAGTATTCAGAAATAAAGCTGGCTCTGAAAGACCACATGACAGAAGGGGACTATGATAAGCTGAATGTTTGCCCCCTACCCCAAATTCTTATGTTAAAACCCTAACCCCCAACGTGATGGTATTTAATGGTGGGTCCTTTGGGAGGTCATTAAGTTTAGATGATGTCATAAGGGTGGTACTTTCATGATGGGATCAGTGCCTCTTATAAAGAGGAAGAGACACAAGAACTCTTTCTCTTTACAGGAGAGTGCACTGAGGAAAGGCCATGTGAGCACACAGAGAGAAAGTGACCATCTACAAACCAGAATCTTGAATTTCCCAGCCTCCAGACTGGGAGAAATAAGTTTCTGTTGTTTAACCCACCCAGTGTATTGTATTTTGTTACAGCACCCTGAGCAGACTAAGACAGGAGTGTTAGCAGCAGAAGCTAGCCTTGCTCTTCTCTTCAGAGAGCTCAGATAGATTATGACCAAACTTCTTGGAGCTCAGTGACAAACTTTCAAAGTTTTTGAGTTCATGTACCAGATAAGAGAGAAATGCAAATTCATTACTTTTCCCGCATAAGGGAGTCATTAGTGCTGTTTACTAGACATTTCTCATTCTCCTGATACAGTGTAGGAATTGCACTGCATTACCTCCTTGGAGTTAGGGGTGCACATGTGACATTCTTTGGTTGATAAAATGTGTATCATCTCTTTTCAGGTGAATGCTGTAAGAACCAGTGTGTGATTGGTCGTGTTCTGTCTTCCTCTCTTTCTACCACAAGAACAAGCATTAAGATGCAGGCTGCTCCATCACCCCTCCAATCTGCCGTGGACATGTGCCGTGCATGCCATGTAAGCTTATGTCATTATACATCACTGAGATTGGGAGTCACTTACTATTGTAGCATAATCCAGTCTGATCTGACTGATGGTCAAATCCTATTACAAGAGGGCTATATGTGGATCAAGGCCTGAAGGCACAGTTGTTTAATGTATATTTCCTAACTCCATTAGCCTTAAGTATCTTCTTCTCTACCCACCAATTCTTCATATGGGTTAGTTTTTATCTTTCAGGTCCTAGTTCAAATGTCACCTTTTCAAGGCAGCTTCCTTGACCAGAATGTGTTAAGAGGCTCCTCCCAGTAACTTCATACCTTCATCCTTCATAGGGCTTATCAAATGATATAATCTTGTTTATTTGCTTCTCCACCAGAATAAAAGTTCTTGAAGGAAAGGACCTTATCTTGTGCACCATTGCATCCTCAGTCCTTAGAATCATGTCTGGGCACCAGGAAACTCCATAAAGTTTGTTGAATGAATGAATAAGTGAATGGGAAAGAAAGTGACCAAGAAAAACTAATATATATATATATATATATATATATATATATATATATATATATATATCTCCTTAAGAGTCATTTTGCCTTAAGATGCATCTTAAAGAATGGGGGCTTGGCAAAGTTTGAAACTCCTCTCCTTCAACCTCACTGTATGTACTATTTTTAAATCAGACCTTAATAGAATTGGAATACCCCATGAAAATGTTTCAATAGCAGTTAATTGCCCCAACTCCTCCCCAGTGAACTCACCCCTCCCATGTTATCCTCTCTGAAAGGCTGCCCTGGCCTCCAGTGGGCTCATTATCTGCTTCATTGGGCAACCACACATCTCCACTGCTATAGCTTAGCACACCTTATTGTGGTATATTATGTGTATATGGCCCTTAGACCATCAGCCCCTTGAGTGCAGGGACTGAATATTTGTACCTGCACTTCCAAGGGCTCCTGCAGCACTAGTCCTATACAAGGGGCTGAGGAGATGCTTATTGAAAGAATGAATTATCTTCTATTGCCTGCAATTATTCCCCACATGTTAGTTTAGTCATTCTAGTAGGACTGGAGTAAAGTTCCTGGAGGACAGTAATTTGTTTTCTCCTTAGGGCTTCTTTGTGTCAAGCATGTAGTAAATGTTCAATAAATAGTGTCTGATTTTTTTTCCTTTGTCAAGGGTCACTGTTTTTTGTTTTTCCCATTTCACACAGAAACAGGTGTTCACAGAAGGAGCTGATAAGCTTCTTGTGGTCCAAGAAGTCTGTTTCAAAGGCTTAAGACTCACATATAAGTGTGAACACACATGAGCCTAGCATGTGCCCCTCTCAAGCGCCTAAATTGGCACCTGTGTTAATTCTGTCTGTGTAACCAAAAGGAAAAAAAACAAGAATAGACCTGGATCTTGGTTCAGAGAAATATTGGGGAATTATCTCAACAAATGTAGCAGTTATGGAATTCCCTGAATAATCCTTACAAAAACAGAGGTGTGTGAAACAGTTTGGTGCCTTGGAGCCTTTCTGGGAACAGCAGGTAGTTCAGCATTGCTGAAGAACAAAGCATTTCCATGCTGCCTTCAAATCTGCTTTTCATCAAGTTTTTATAGTCTTGCTAGCATAGAGCATCAAATGCACACACCCAAATATGTGTACACATGCACAATCATACACACACAAAAAACCCATAAGCAGGGTCTCTGGGCTTCTGAGAGGAAAGATTAAGTTGGGGGAGGAATGCAGATATCACAAATGGGTAATAGAGTAGCCCTTTTTCCCAAAATTTCTAAATCACACATTACAACACTGGATAAAATATTTTATGTCATGTTCAGGTGCATGAGGTAATTTTGGAGTTAAAGTTCAGATGTCCAATAAACATTAACCGAATGAGTAAATGAACAAAAGGAAAATACTAAGATGACATGCAGAATTAAAACCTCCTGTCTCATACACAAATGGTATGAAGAAAATCAATTTTACCCGGAAGGGAATATCTTCATTTTCTAAAACTCTTCTGTAACATCAAAATATTCTTCAAACAAAATCTGAAGTGAACTGATTCTCTCCTTTGGTTTGAGATCTTGTGAAGTCCTTAGAAGTTCTTATAAGAAGCCAGAATGATCCTCGTCACTTCTGTCATGATACTATAGTCAAACACTCAATGCACTCAAATGGCACCCCACAGATGGGTGCCTAGTCAGTAGGCACCCAGTGTTAGTGTTTTCCTCACGGATGAGTACCTTCATGTTCTGCATATTGTAGACTTGTGGCCATAGGATCATCCCTTGTCTGATATAATACCTGCTCTAACTGAGCCAGTGGGGGAGAGAAACATGTAAGTGAATACTGGTAACAAGATCATCAAGCTTGATGTTTTCCTCCTATCAGAGGAGGCTACAAGGTTTAGTGTGCACCAATGAGGAAATGGTTAATTGCCTGCTTACTGTCAAAGAAAGTTTTGAGCTGAACATTGAATGACCAATAGGAGAGGACATTCTAGCTTGTAATGACATGATTACAAAAACAGAGGTGTGTGAAACAGTTTGGTGCCTTGGAGCCTTTCTGGGAACAGCAGGTAGTTCAGCATTGCTGAAGAACAAAGCATTTCCATGCTGCCTTCAAATCTGCTTTTCAAGTTTTTATAGCCTTGCTAGCATATAGCATCAAGTGCACACACCCAAATATGTGCACACATGCACAATCATACACACACAAACACACTTGATGGCATTGACCTAAAATACACTTTTTGTGCTTCTTGTGGTCCAAGAAGTCTGTTTCAAAGGCTTAAGACTCACATATAAGTGTGCACACACATGAGTCTAGCATGTGCCCCTCTCAAGTGCCTAAATTGGCACCTGTTTTATTTCTGTCTGTGTAATCAAAAGGAAAAAAAATAAGAATAGACCTGGATCTTGGTTCAGAGAAATATTGGGGAATTATCTCAACAAATGTAGCAGTTATGGAATTCCCTGAATAATCCTTCGGGTTTTGTTGTTGTTGTTAAATTCAACACTCTGCTCTCCTCCACAACTTTTTTGGTTCAATCAAGTAATGTAGCAATGTCAGCTGCCAGTATGAGACCTTTCTCAGCTACTTGAAGGCCAGACAAAAGCTAACTCCATCACTCTCTTCTTGGAAATAATGATTGCAAGAGCTCTCATAGCACATGTTTTACCTGACCAATGATCGGGGTCATTTTGAACAACAGCTTTATGGTTTTTCTTATAAACTCCTACCTTTTATAGAGCTACCATACGATCCAGCAATTGCACTACTGGGTAGTTACCCCAAAGATACAAATGTAGGGATCCAAAGGGATATGTGCACCCCAATGTTTATAGCAGCAATGTCCACAATAGCCAAACTGTGGAAAGAGCCAAGATGTCCATCAACAGATGAATGGATAAAGAAGATGTGGTATATATATAATGGAATATTATGCAGCCATCAAAAGGAATGAGATCTTGCTATTTGCAGCAATGTGGATGGAACTGGAGGGTGTTATGCTGAGCGAAATAAGTCAATCAGAGAAAGACATGTATCATATGACCTCAATGATATGAGGAATTCTTAATCTCATGAAACAAACTGAGGGTTGCTCGAGTGGTGGGAGGTGGGAGGGATGGGGTGGCTGGGTGATAGACATTGGGGAGGGTATGTGCTATGGTGAGTGCTGTGAATTGTGCAAGACTGTTGAATCACAGATCTGCAACTCTGAAGCAAATAATGCAATATATGTTAAGGAAAAAAATGATAGCAGGAGAGGAAGAATGAAGGGGGGAAATCAGAGGGGGAGACAAACCATGAGAGGATGGACTCTGATAAACAAACTGAGGGTTCTAGAGGGGAAGGGTGTGGGAGGATGGGTTAGCCTGGTGATGGGTATTAATGAGGGCATGCTCTGCATGGAGCACTGGGTGTTATGCACAAACAATGAATCATGGAACACTACATCAAAAACTAATGATGTAATGTATGGTGATTAACATAACAATAAAAAATTTAAAAAAATTTTTTAAATAAAAAGATGGCAACTGTCAGGGTCAGTGATACAGATATGTATGTCCCCTCAGCATCCAAACAACAGGTTCTGAACTCCTTTTTCTCAGCTTTGCTCTGGTAGGCTATTTCCATGAAAGTCTAGAGATGGAAAATGGGAAGATGGCAATGAGACCCTATAAGCTGGAAGCCATTTTGGTTGATGGGCAGGGTGTCCCTGTTGTGGTACTATCATTTTGGTTGAAGGTAATAATACTTAACTTGTTTAAATACCAGGTACTTAATTTTGTTTTTAGCAAACCCATAAGCAGAAAGTGAATCAATATTGTCTGGAGAGAAGGAAGTTAGTCAAACACCAAGAGTTAAACCTTGTTGCAGGCAAGAGACAAAAAGAGTATCATGACATGAACAGTCTCCTAATATCCCTATCTCACTGGACACTTGCTGTGTTTTAAATACCCTCCAATATGACCAGCTGGACTATACAAGGACTTGTTAAAAATGTATGCTCTAACTAAATTACAGATTTCTTCTCTTGAAAGTTCACTGAGTAGGTTTCATAATCTGGTGACTAAACTATGTCATCTCTTATTCCCTAGAAAAGACAAGGATCTGAGGAATGGGATACATGTCTGGGAGAATGTCCAATGGTCAGAGGGTGCCAGAATGGGCTTTAGGAAAGCACATCAGAGTGGTCCTCAGAGGGCAATGCCAAAGGGAGTTATGGGCTCATGACTGAGATATACCTTGTCTATTTCATAACTTTGTTCAAGTCCATTTCTAAGGATTTTGTAAAAAAGCAGAATACATATTTCTATCAGTTTTTCCGAGCCTTTAAAAAACTTCTTCCAGAGCAATTTGCCCTCTTGAAAAGGTGAATCACATTTTCCCAGAAGTGGTTCCAGATGAAATCCAGTGTATGTTTATGTTCTTTGAAATAGGAAAAGAAGAAGAAGAAGAAGAAGAAGAAGAAGAAGAAGAAGAAGAAGAAGAAGAAGAAGAAGAAGAAGAAGAAAGAAAGAAAGAAAGAAAGAAAGAAAGAAAGAAAGAAAGAAAGAAAGAAAGAAAGAAAGAAAGAAAAGAAAGAAAAAGAAAAAAGAGAAAGAAAGGAAAGTAGGGCCAGGATAAGAGTTCGTCCAGACCTGTATGGCACTGAGGGAAGTGCCCAGCAAGGCTGACATCAGCAGGACAGTCCCTTCCAGCAGAGAGCTGGCGGTTTTACTACAGCATCCAGTCAGAACACTTTGTTTTTCATGCCGTACAGTCTCACGAATCTCCCCTTCCCTCAAAGTCCGGCAGCCAGCCCCCACACCATGATCATTTATTTCAATTCCGCTTTTATTAGTAGCTTCTCATATTTGGTAAAATCCTTTTGCTGCCATCCAGAATGTTAATGCACTGCACAACCAGCAGAGCTAGCTTGTCAGGACATTCTCACGGATACACACATGCACATATTTAAAGCCAAAGGATTTTATAAAATTTCGCTTTGCACTTTAGAACACCTGCATTTAGCTCAAAAAAATAAATGTGTTTCCGTAGGCAGGTCTATTACCTGCCCCCTCTCATTGCTTCTTTCATGTCTTTCAAAACGCAAAATCACCTTCTTCACAGTATCTTATAATGTTTTTTTCTATTTTCACCTCTTTGGGGAGATTTTCATCTCTACAAGTCAATTCCCTTGAAATGAGTTTTGAAGATTTTTATATTTTAATAGTATATTTTGAAAGGAAAGGGATTTCTCAGTTTGTGGATAAGAATATTAGACAAACAAATAGAAAACATTTGGGGGATCTGGAGGACAAAGCTATGCACTTGTGTTTGATAGGTTTTTTTTCTACATGGCAAAGGGAAATCGGCTCTTGAATTTTCTTTATTGAAATCCTGTCTTTGTTGATTACTTTGTGACTGCCTGAGCCCCTGATGAAAAGCTCCCCAAAGTGGGAAGACACACAGCCCTATCTCCATTATCAGCCTCCTTCAGCCGATTTGTTCAGGAGGCTGCAGGTAAGAGAGAGTATGTTGCATGGATTGGGGACCAGGCTGTGTCCATTAGAAGCCACTCCCTCCAGTTTCAGGCACACAAGGAGATTTTAAGATTGAGCTGTGATCAAAACCTTTTTCTCTTGCTCTTAATGAGACCTGCATCCAGACTGAAGACTTCCCTCCCACACTTGTGCAACTGCTCAGGCAAATCTTAGTTATCTGTGCTGATAGAGAATGGCAGCACAGCTGAGGGTCCCACATCATTTCTACAAGGCTTTGGAAGAAATTGAATGAGCTTGGTTTTGAGGAAGCCAATGTATTTTCTGGATTACTTGGCCTAATAGACTCTATGTTATTAAAATGAGGTCACACAAAGCAGGGGTGGACAGTGATGGGATCTGGAAGGGGCAAGGAAGAGTCAGCCTGGGGTTAAAAGAGTTTCAAGCTCGGTTGCAAAGCTGATATCAAGAAAATCATTGGCAGTCTGAATCCACAGCAGGGCTGACCCTTGACTGAGGTTTTGGGAGGTCTATTTTTGTTTTGTACTTCTCAAGATCGTTTTTTAAAATTGAGGTAAGATATATATAACAAAATTTACCTTTCTAAATTTTTTTAAGTGTAGAGTTCAGTAGTGTTAAGTACATTCATAATGTTATGCAACCAATCTTCAGAATTCTTTTCATCTTGCAAAAGCAAAACTGTGTGCATATTGAACAACTACCCATTCCACCACCCCCAGGCCCTGGCAACCACCCTTCTACTTTCTGTCTTCTTGGGACCATTTTAAGTGCCTATGCTTTTAGGGCTCTTTTAGCCATAAGTAACAGAAGCTACTGGAAACTGCTAAAGCAATAAAAGAAATTTATAAGCTTAAGAGAATACAAGGAAGGGTTGGGCAGTCAGCCACAGAAAGGTAGGGATGGGCCTCAGGATCGCATAGAATGCAAGCCTCAAATGCCACCAAACTCCTGCATCCCTGTTTCCTTCTACACATCAGCTTCATCACCCCATCTCTGCAGAAGGGCTTTCTCTACATGGCAGAGAACATGGCTCTATGTTAACTTCATCTAGTAGAGACACATTGGATTGACAAGCTTTGTGTTTCCAATATAAATTTGTAATTTTATAAAGAGGCTTATTGAATCAAGTGGATCAGAGGCCCATTCCTGGACTAATCAGCCATGGCCAGAATGATTGGCCTAGCTTAGGTCAGGTGCCCACCTCTGACTAATCAACTATGGCTAGGGGAGGGGCACATAAGATCATAACAGAACCCATGGGTAAAAGGAGGCACTGAAGGACTTCCCAGCAGAAAGTGCCAGTGGTGCTGGGCAGATAAAGCAGAAGGTATCCACTAGCATGCCCTTCACTTCCTCTTTCTCCATATATTTCAAAGCCACTTATGCACTGTTTTCTCATTATGACAAGCGTTTCCTGGATGTACCCCTTCTTTACATCTTCCTTTCTTACTGACAACAAGAGATAATGAGGTAATCATCTGCACAGTCCCTGGCACACATGAAGAAATATTCTGTCTCTCTCTCTCAAACAAAAAATTACCTGTTAGGATTTTAAAATGTGATTCTTCCCAATGGTATTCTTATACTTTAAAAAAGAATTCTAAAGATTAAAATCTTCTAATGGCCCATTGTCCCAAATTCAAGCCTCATGGTGGAATCAAGGCAGCTGGTCACCTAATCTCCCTTCCCTGAGCCTGCCCAGTAGTATTCCCTAATTGGGACAGCCTTGAAGCTGCTGGCAAGAAGACAGAGGGAGATTTTCTCCTCATTCTTGTTATTATCCTAATTCCCTTGTTTTGTGACATTTAAACAGGCAGGCTCAATCTGTGTTTTTGTATTGGTCAGATTATCCTTGCCTTTAAAGAATTGTCTCTGCATTTGTGTTGAGCAGACTTACAGGCAGGCAAACACTTCATCTTCACAGCATATTAGCTGAAAAGCAAAACCCAGTGTTCTGGGAGGCCTCTATCCCAGGCTGATCAGGACCATAAATCGGCCACAGTAGTGTCCCCACAGGGATGCCCAGAGAAACTGCTTTTTGGCTTGTCAAGAGGATCTCAAGGGAGATCACAGACCCTACCTAACGCCCACATGAAGGCCTATTTAAAGTAACACTACTGAGCCTGGTCAGTCCCTCATGTGTTTAAAAAAGACCATTAGCCTCATCTGAGAGTTCCAGAAACACTTTTGAGATCTGCTGCTCAGTCTGAAGCTGTTGATCACTGTTCACAAATTTGAACAAAATCAGAGGAAGGTTTTTAAAAATGTTTATATTTCTGGCCACAAGTATTGCCCCAGGCTTTTCTGCCTAAAAAGATGGAATTATAGCATTGAGAATCTAGGGATTTTCAATATGAATCAGACTTGATGATTGCCAGGATAAAGGAAAAAATTATTTATTAAACACATACAATGTGCTCACGGTGCCCAAGATTATGCTCAGAAAAGCATGAGCTGTGATCTCTACCCTCAGGAGGCTTGCAGTCCATTTCCCCTTACACCGCTCAAGGAAATCTAATTTCCTTTGAGGAACCATCCCTACTCCACTCTCAGATTGTGTGGCTTTTTAACAACCCCCCTTCTCAAATGTCATAATCACATGACTCAGGGCTAACCAATCAGGCTTTTTCATCACTCTGATTGGTGCATAATGGGGCATATGACTCAAGGCTGGCCCATCAGACTCATTTCTGAGACTTATACTGGAATTACTGGGAAAGAGCTTTGGGCTTTCTGTTATTTAGCTAATGAGATGGTGGTCCAGAGTTTCTGGTTTGGTGGCTATATCCTTCCTTGTTTTATGGGTGAGAGAACTAGGATACAGAAAAAGCAAACAATTTGTCTAAGTTTTTAAGAGTCAGCTTGAGAAAAAGCTGGGATTCAAATAATCTGGTTCTAGAATTCATACTCTGTTAGGGTATTTCTCATGGAATCCATATACCTCTCGTTACCAGCCAACAGGGATCTCTTCACACTCCCCATAGCTCTTTCTTCCAGGAAGAGGCCTTTTCTGGAACATTCTCCCAGGTCTACTAGAAGCAATAATCTCTGGCTTTGGGGCACACCACGGGTAAGTAAGACTGATCTCTGGGTGAAGAAATCAAAGACCACAAATGTAGGAGACAGAAGACAAATAGCCCACTAGAAAGCATAAAATAAGGATTCTTAATCTGCTAGGGGTCCCTGACCCCTTTGAGAATTTGATTTCCCAAAAAAGTTTGTATGCACTTGAAAGGTTGAATATGACAAGGTTCTTCTTTGCAAGTGACAGAAACCCAATTTGAATCAGCTCCATTAAAAAGGTTCACATAACTGTGGTAAGAGCAAAGATGCAGCCAGGCTTAAGGGACAACCAGAACCAGCTACAAGACTTGTGGTTTGTTTGTTTGTTTCCCTCTGCCTCTTTCTATGTGTTGGTTTTATTCTCTCTGACCCATGGTAAACAACATGGTTGAAGTTGAATCTCATTTCACATTGATGAGCCACACCTTTGCCCCAGCTCTAGTTCAAAAATATCCCAGGAAAGATTCCAATTGGTCATGGGTTATGGACCCACCCCTGTGGCCATGGAAGCAGAGAACTGGGGTCAGCAGCAGCTATCACCCAAGGAAAAAAGGTAATATCTTCAGAAGAAGAGAGGGTGTGGGGCAGACAAAACAAAGATTACCTCGGGAAAGAACCCAGTGGGACTTTGGACCTAGAGCCTAAAACTGTGTCTAAAAAATAAAGTGGAGGACAAAGGATATTAAATGAATAATTCAGGGAAACACTCATCTCAATTATCTGAATAGTTCCAGAGAAATGTTTAGGCCAAGATTACCCAGAATGTGGCCTCCAAATTTTCCTTTTTTGGCAAAGAATTTATAGCACAGCCCATTTCCTGTGCCCCATCAAAGGGAAAATAACTTTACAAAAAATAAAGAAGGTATAGATTTCTTACTGGGAAATATAATGCTCTGTTAGCATGAAGTTTCTTCTGTTTTCACATTTTAAAAGAAAAATAAGAGACATTAAATCAGATTGGTCTTGCTCAGGATGTCTAGATCCAATATTAATTGTGCAAAATAGTTAGGAAATGCTCAAGTAGGCTTTTAAAAGTCCCCTTCAACTCCAATTTAAGCCCCTTTCAATCCATCCTCTGCACAGATGTCAGGTTAATTTCCCTAAAACACTAGTTTGTCATGATTCTCTGGTCCTGATTTCTGGTGCTCAAAACTACCCACAATGGAGATCCACTCTCCTAAACCAATCTCATCTCCAACTACTCTGTCTGGGGTTGCCTCCTCAATCCTCCAAAGCTTCATGCTCATTTTTACCTCTGGCATCCTCATCTCCTTTTTTCAACTTATCCCAAATCTCATCCATTACGTAAAGCCTGGTTTGATTCCCACATTTGCAAAGGACTACCAAGTGTCATTTACCTTTTGTTCTTCAATTCATTGCCACCTTTTGCCTGTTCTGCTCTGTATGTAGGGAACTAATCCCACAAACTCTGTCTCCCAAGCTCCCTTGCTAACTGTGCTAACTGGTTTCCAGGTATGTTCATCCAATAGGAGGTAAGAAGCCAGAGGATATTTTTGAGGAGTGGCATCTCTGGTAGTGACTAGTCTCCTCCAAGGTCAACTCTAGCCTCTACTATTGCTACTCCCTGGGCTGTCTCACTAACCCTGCTTGTATTCTCACTTTATATCTTTGTGATGAGTCCTCCATATTCAATTCTCCTTATTTAGATACCTGGTATAGATTCATTTTTCCTGACTAGACTTTTTTTAAACATAGGACCACCTCATAATCTTTCTTCTCTGCTTTCCTATGCCCCATCAAAGGGAAAATAACTTTACAAAAAATAAAGAAGGTATAGATTTCTTATTGGGAAATATAATGCTATAAT